GCATAATGGGAATAATATTTACCAAGCCCAGCGTGTGGCTCTGAAGGCTATGGGGCAAGCCTCTTCGAGAAAGCATTAAGTTCAAAGACACTTATAATAATACATATTATCTCTACCCCACATCTATAATTATAGCAAAGTATAATCTGTCTTGAGAACCTGAAAAAGCACTTTCACATCTTGGTGTTATTTCATGCTTTACAAGCACTCCCCACTCCATTAATGTTTTGTAATCTTAGCAAGAGCAACTCTGGAAATGATTTTGGGCCTTTTTTTATTGTTATTAGTATGGAAATGAGAACAGTCTTTGTTAAGGTGCCCAAACAAGACCGCCAGTCATCCCGTAGCCCATCATTACCAGCTTATCTGGCCCTGTGACTCATGAAGAGCTGAACTGTGCTCATCCCACCTGCTTCAAACACCCTGTCCAGGAGGTGCCACAGGCAGCCAAGGGTCACGCTTGTCATGGCAGCTCTGCTGCTTCCCCCTCGCTGCCCGTGTCCTGGCTGCAGGGTGCTGGGGGGCTGCAGGGTGCTGGGGGGCTGCAGGGTGCTGGGGGGCTGCAGGGTGCTGGGGGGCTGCAGGGTGCTGGGGGGCTGCAGGGTGCTGGGGGGCTGCAGGGTGCTGGGTGGCTGCAGGGTGCTGCTCGCCCTCCCCACAGCCAGTGGCTGTTGTCCTCTTTTGGGGGCACCCCCAGCCCATGGGGGGCCAGGATGCTGCCCGAGAACACGGTGCTGGACCGAGGTCCCGGTGGGAGCTCCAGGCCACCCACAGCTCCACCCTGTGGGGCAGCTCCCTGGAGGACTGACCACTCCTGGTTTTCCAGCAGCCTGGTGCGTGGCTGAAGGCAACGTTTTCTTCCACTGCCCATGTTCTCACAACCTCCCCGTTTACAGACAGGTCTGGCACAGGCAGGACACTGGCTTGTCGTTCCTCAGAAGCACCAGAGCCATCCTCCCAAGCTGTGCAGGCAGGATCCTCTTCATCCATGAATTCCCAGCAGTGAATACTGGTGACCCTCTCTGCCACCATTTCATCCCAGTTAACCCAATCTAACGTGGCTGTTCCACTGTGGCCAGGCCTCCTCCTGGGTTTGGTGGCTGTGGGGTTTGGTCTTGCCCGGCAGGTTGCCCAGGACACTGCCCCACACAGCCACAGTGCCAGGTGCTCACTGCTGAGTTTGGCAGCGAGGCAGAGTCACCTCCACGGGGCAGTTCGTGTCCCCTCCTTCTCCCCCTCACTGTCTTTCCTCTCCCCTCTCCTGCTGGCAGCTGGGAGTACTACGTGAACGACGCCCCACGCGTGGTGCTGGACAAGCTGGAGAGCTGCGGCTACCGGGTGGTGAGCATGACGGGCGTGGGGCAGACCCTGGTGTGGTGCCTCCACAAGGAACAGTGAGGAAGACTTCTGCACCCCTCCCGGGCACGATCCTGCCAGGGACCATCTCACACAGGACTGCTCAGGCTGCTCCCCATGAATCCTTTCTGTCCCAGACGCCAGGCGCTCGGGCGTGGGGGAGGAGTGGTGTGGAGGCAAGACCTGACCCCATGGATCCTGCCATCCTGCCCTTCACGAGGCTGGGGGAGGAAGCTGTGCCCAGTGCATGGGAGCAGATGTCTCCAGCTCTGCACTCATCTGAACGGCTGCCTGGCAAACACCATCTCTTCACATGGAAACCATCTCCTGTTTAGCATGCATTGGAGGAAGCTCAAGTAACAGATTTGTCTGCTCCTCAGATAGGTCAGTGCTAAGCTGAGAGGTCAGGGCTTTCTCCAGGGTCGTGGGGGTAGAGAGGGGAGTCCAAGCACAGACAGCACCTGTCTCATCCCTGGAACGTGAGCTGGAACTGCCAAGCCTGTGCAGCACTCCTCGAGATCCCCTCACCCGGCAGCCAGGCCAGCTCCTCTCCCAGATGGATTGTGGTCAGCAGCAGCCTCACAGCCCCAGGAGGGCCAGGCAAGGGCAACGTGCTGTTCCTGAAGCAGCCTCCGAGCAGCACAGCAAGGTCCTGGGAGCATTTCAGGTACAGGCTCTGTAATCTGAACAGCAGCAGCTGCAGCACTGGGTTGTTTGGGACCATGCGTCGATCCTGCTGTAGGGGCAACACCAATAAAAGAGTTCTCTCAAGAGACCAATGTCTTTCTGTGGTTGCTTTAAACAGTTGTTGCTAAAGCCTTCTGGATCCACAGCTCCCGGACAAGCTTTCAGGAGCTCAGGGCAGCCCCAAGGTTGGTGCTCTGGCAGCACCTCTCACGCCCTGTCCCGTGACCAGGCAGCTGCAGGCCGGCAGGTCAACACCCTACGCAGCCACTTCCCCCCTCTGGGAAGGGATCCGGGCTGCAGTCACTGGGAGCTTGTATTCCTACAACAGCTTTACAAAAGGAGGTTTATTGACTTAAATTAAGAAACAGCTCTGGAGAGGAAGATGATGGGTGGGGGAGAATCCACACTGCCTCACGCTAGGTGTGAGCCTCCTCCTCGTCCTCCCGCTGGAGCTGCTCAATCAGCTGCTGCCTCTCCGCTGCCTGGCGCATCCTCATCATCACCAGGCTCTCGTAATCCCGCTCGGACACCACGGATGCCTGGGGGAGAACACAGACACGGGGGGTCAGGGGCAGCCCGGGCCCCAGCCAGGAAGGTGGCTCTGGGCAGCGTGACCCCAGGGAAACGGGGTGAGGGGCAGGAGCTGAGGGGTGCAGGGCACAGCCTGCTCTGGTAGCTGGGGGGCACAGGGCACAGCCCGCTCCAGAGGGTGGTGCTGGCCGGGCAGAGGGAGGCGGGTGGGGACCCCCAGGGAGCCCCAGGAGCAGTGAGGCTGGGCGGGGAGGCTCTGCTTGCCTCGCTGGCACAGGTCCTGCACGACAGGCTGGCTCTGCAGGCACACCACAGGGGCACAAAGTCCAGCGTCCGCCGCGTCCGTTAGAAAGGGTGACACCACCAAAAACCAGTCAAACCCTTCCGGGGCTCAGCCCTGGGAGTGGCTGAGCAGAAAACCCCCAGGTATGTTCCCAAACCTGACGTGAAGGGTCACAAAAAGGGTCCCGAAAGCTCTCGGAGGCTTCTCTGCTGCGTGGCAGCGACTGTCACGCCAGCCAGGCTGACTGCAGACTCTGCCCAAGGAAGGTGGGCAGCAGCTGGCAGCTGCCCTCGCGGAGCAGAGCAGCAGCTTCGGCACTTCACTTTCAAAAGCCACTGAGCATGAGGAGGTGCCTTCCTAATTTGGGTGTATTCAAAGCCCTGCGGTGCTTGGAAACATCCACCTCATTTGCTTGACAGCTCAGGTGGAAACACAAGCGTCCTGACAGAAGGTGAATGAAAAAAACCCCCTCACATTCATGTGTCGAGGAACTAGATTTAGTCATGATTTAAGGACACCTTAAATAGAAACCAGAGGGAAGGAAGAGTGGCACAGAATAGCTCTGTCAGACTCTGCGTGAAAACGGGGCAAGTGCAAATTCATTATGAGCCAGCAAAGCTGTTCCTCCAGCTGCAGTGTCCAGCTGTGAGGACAAAACAGAAGCCCACAATAGGTGAGAGACTTAGACAGGGAAATGAAGAGACTAACAGGCCACAAGTGGCAGCTCAGGAGCCGCACGAGTGGAATAACCTTTCAGCACTGTGCGGGCAGGGTTGCAGTGCCTGAGAAAGTACCAGATTGTATCAGCCCTCGGTGCCAGAACGAGGCTTCTTCAAAGCTCCTGTCCACTAATGACAGGTGCTCCTTCATCTGCTCGGCTGAATGGAAGAGCCTAGATGAGACTCATGCAGATGAATCACCCCAGCAAACCTGAATCACAGCCTCACACTCGGGATTTACATTTAAAACAGACAAGAGATGATTTCCGCCTCCTTTGGGAGCCCTGCCGATACCAGGAGCCATCAGAAGTGGCGTGGAGGGAGATCAGCAAGAGCAGCACCAGCCAGAGCCAGGATGAGCCACCAGTGACTGCTCCCTCTGAGAGCTCTGGAGCGGGCTGGGTGCTGCTGAGGAGCGCGTGGGCCGCTGCTCCGTTGCTCTCCACACCTACTTCCTGCAATCCTGGCAATTACCAACAGTGTAAAACCCAGTTTCTGACGTGCCTGACTCAGCAAGGGCTTGGCTCAAAACAAATACACACGCACAAGTTGCTGCAGCCTGGGAAGCAGGGACGGAGGCACATGAAGGGACGGAGGCACTGCGGATTTCTGCCGTGCCGGGTCCAGCCCGGCTGAATCCTCCCTGGACTCGCCGCTTCCAACGTCCCCCATCCCGCTGAACGCGGTGGCCACGGCTCTCCAAGTGCCTCAGCAGCTTCTCCTCTCCACCTCTTGGGCTTGGGTGCTGCTCCGACACGGCGTAAGTCTATTTTGCATTTAATTTTCCTAAGTTTGTCTTTTACATCTGTGTTTTTCTTCGTTTTAAATTGGAATTTGACCGTATTTCTTCAGTTTCCTTCAGTGTGACTGAGTCACCGTCTCCCTTCCTTACCACCCACAGAGATTTTTCTACTGTGCCCTTCCCCATGAAGGTGGCTGGTTACCATGGTACCAAAGTGCCCTTCTGTTCTAGATGCTGGATTGAATCTGTTCTCATGGTGACTGTGTGCCTTCCCTGCTCCTCATCAGCCCGTTTCTGCAGCACAGATTTAACACGCTCAGCCATCGCCATTCCTTCTCCACCAAAGGAGGAGGCTTCTTATTATCCAAGACAGGCCAATTCCTCCTTGACACAGGGACGTGGTGTGAGGTTTGCATTTCCTGCAATACCAGCCTCTCTGTTTTCCTTCCAGCTACAGGAACAGGGAAGGAAGAGGTTGTTCCTGTTGCGTGGCTTGCTGCCGATCCTGCGACTTCAGCCCCAACACCTGCCTGTGAAGAGTCAGCACCTTCCTTCTGCTCGCTGCCTTTCACCAGCATGGATACTTGGAGGAGAGGGTCCATCAAGTCCACAACGTTCTTCAGACGTTTCTCACTCAGGAGACACAAAAAGCTGGGCAACCAAGTCATCATCTTGAACCAGAACAGCCACACTCTGGACACGGATGGACAGTGCCAGAAGCGGGAGTGCTTGAGGGATCTGAAGGACAAGTCTGATTACCTGTCATGTCAGAGCGAGCAAAACCTGGCCAAGGCACAAGCCCCTCCCAAGCCTCCCCGGCTGTACCTGGACAGTTCTAGCTGCCCTAACATCATCGACCACACAGATTCTCACTCTGACGTCTCCTTTTCTGGTGCTTCTCACCAGTACCACAAAGCCACTCAGACTCAGTTCCACAGGGACCAGGCTACAGACTGCGGGACCCCGGAGGTGGGTTCCCAGCACGGCACCACGCTCCCCGACCTGGCGGATCCCTTCCTGTCCTTCAAAGTGGATTTGGGGCTATCACTTCTCGAGGATGTTCTGCAGACCCTCAGGAAACAGAATCCAAGAGATTACGCCATTTGAAGGTATTTATCATTTAACACCTCACGTTTACTCACTGCTGCTGCCAGTTCCTCTAGCCCTAGCAGGAGGGAGGCTACTGCAGCATTCCTGTCGTGTGTGGCCTGTTCTGTTGTTCTCGCTTACCCACCACAGACTGTCCTTGTCCTCTCCAAGGAGTCCTCTGGAGCAGGGCAACTTCCCCTCTTGACTGTGCATCTCCTCCTCGTGGAAGAATGGTGCTGTCTGGCACAAGACCTGTTGTTCTGGGGATGTGGCTGGGCCCCTGCAGAGCCCGGACAGGAGGGAACCTGGCACACAACCTCTGTGGATAAGCAGCTGGCGAGGAGTCAGCGGCACTGCGCCTCAAAGCCACAGCTACAGCAAGGCTCAGAGACTGGAACTGCTGTTTCTTCTCTCTCCAGGTTTGGATGTGAAAAATCAAAACTGTTCTTCCTTTTTTTGTTTTCCCCTTGTGGGTTTCTTTCCCCCTCACTCAAGTGCAGTTGGCACTCCTAGCCTGGGAACAGGTAAGCATCCACACAGGCTCGTAATACAGCAGCAGCAGTTTATGTATCCTACCAGCAGGAGAAGAAATTTCTCTAGATACGGCTGCTTGAAGCATGCACTGATCTATCAGCTGTACAGATATGGAAGAATAAATGTATCTGTGACTGGAACAGTCTTGTTGCCTCATTTTGTTGGTAGCAAGCCAGAAAAAGCTTGCCTGGGCACTGGGGAGCACAGGTCCCTGCTCGGGGGTGACCAAGCCCCCTTCCCGGCACCGCAGAGTCCCCAGGGCGGGGAGGGGGCGTGCCTCTGCTCCCCTGGGTGGGCAGCCAGAGCTGCCCCAGGAGCCTGCCCAGAGCAGCAGTGCCTCACCCCCAGCAGGACAGCAGGAGGGGCTCTGCCAGGCTCAGGACGTTTTAGGCAGTACCAGGGCAAACGGTTGAAAGAACGCTGCAGAAACTACCAGGTCACCAATTTTTACCCTTTTCAGAGTTGGATTAGATACCAGGGCTCTTTCTAAAAACATAAACCCACAGAACCTCCATGCACTCAGAAAACTGTAAGCTTTGGAAGCCAGCTACAGCAAAGTGCACAGAGACACTTCAGAGACACAGACAGCTCTTAGCCTACTAGATTCACATCGAGCTGGGAAGTCAGATAACATAAAACTAACTCTATGAAACCTCAAAGGAGCTTAGAAAAGGTGCCAGACAGAAGACTCTCCTCAGCTTCGATGTGGCTGAAGGAATGGCCCCACACAGGTGAGGGGCACTGGCAGGGAGATGAGGAAGGTGTGAGGAAGATCTTCCCAGCCATCAGGGCTTCATGCTGCTGTCCAGCAAACGTGCCCCCCACACCCTGCAGAGCTGCTGCATGCTTTGAACCCTTCAGAGCTGCAGCAATCAAACAGTCCTTGCTCTCAAATAGCCTTGAGCAGCACTGCCCAAACCACAGCTGTTGTAGCTCTAGCACAACTTGCCTGCTTGGCTCCAGCAGCTCTCCAGGCACTGCTGGACAACAGACATTGCTGTGGAAGGAAACAAGCCAACCAGGACTGTGAGGGCAAGTACCTTCCAATTTACTGCCTCCTCCCAGCACCACTTCTCCACAACCAGCCTTGCTTTCACCTGGGAACTGCTTCCAAAGCTCCCTGGTGTAGTTAGCCTGTGGCTGTCCTCTCCCTGAAGGCTTTGGTGCACAGCTCCTGCCCCACTGCCCCAGGCAGGCAGCAGACCCAGCTCTGAAGCAGCGAGTGGTGAGGGTGTTGCCATGAGAACACTGCAGGTCTTCGGCTGCTCTCTGAAGCAGAGCAGGGAAGGAGCTGCATTTGCAGAGTGGGAGCAAAGGGGGTGGAATCAGACAAAAATAGGAGCAGCCCAGAAGGAACAGCAAATGGGAAGTGAGGGCAGCTTAAAGCAGAATAAGATTAGTGCATCCTGAAAGCCAGAATGTGGAATATGGCTGGGAAGCCAGACTGGGTACAACAGGATGAGGCAGGTTGTGGGTTGAGGCAGCAGCAAAAGATATCTGAACAGCCTCACTTTGCATACTCTAGAGTTGAACAGCTGAGGACAAGTCAGCTAGAAGCAGCACAGCCCAGAGAAGCTATTGCCAAATGGCAGCTTTTGGCAGCAGTGGGAGCAGCAGCAGGGCTCAGGCAGGCCAGGAAAGCAGGAAGCAGAGCAGCTGCTCAGCCAGCCGAGGCTGTGAGGACAGGAGTGAGTGCCCAGCTCCCTGCAGCACAGGCACCACTCGCTGCCCTGGCCTGCTCTCCCTGCCTGCTCCAAGCTACCCCCTCACAGCAGGCACATGCTGCCCTTCCACACTGACAGGCTCTGGCCGTGGCAACAAGCCAAGATAAACCCCTTCAAGAGCCAGGGCTTTTGAACCCACAGAGGCAAGAAGCCACTGCCAAGCTCCAGATGCACCAGCAACCCTCTGAAGTACAAATGAGCCAGTTCTCTGCTAGCAAGGGATACTCAAATAACATGGATTGGACTCTATTTCCCCCAGCTTTCCTTCTAACACTGGGGCCACCTCCGGGCACCTCCTGTGCCTGCAGACCCTCCCTGGTTCCACATGGTGGGCAGAGATCCATCTGGCTCCCGGGCTGTGATGCCACAACTGCCTTTGCCCAAGGCTTCTGGGAAGCTGCACAGCTCAAGGAACGTGCAGCTCAAGTGAAAACATACAACCCTAATCAGAACCAGGGCAGAGACGTGGCATTCTGATGTGCAAAGGCATCTGCTGTAAATAAAGCACCCCAGAAAAGTCAGGAAAGTGAATGTACTGAACAATCTCACAAGCTGAGAAAATATTTAGGCAGCGACCACACACCAGGCTGGCAGAGACACAGACACAGACTGAGGGCACCTCAGAGCAGGAGGCATCTCAGCAGTCAGATCCTTTTGATCTTTGCACCACAGGGAAGGAAGAGAGGGGAGCAAGTGTCACAGGGAGCTCCAACTGGAACTCAAATGGCCAACAAAGGACCTCAGGTCCCTCCACAGCCAAGGAATCACTGACTAGGTCAGCAGACAGGGCAACAGATGAATTCTGTGCTGCAGAGCAGAGTGTAACATAAGACACTTCAGGAGAAGTGGGTCCACTGCTCACTGCAGAGGGACACCAGGAGCAGGGGTGACGGGGAGCCAGCGGCGTGCTGCAGCACAGCCTGATGGGTTTCTGTGCTTTAGCCACTAGATGCTGTTGTCTTCCTGTGTTTGGTGACTGGAATACATCTGCTAGTCAAGAGCAACAGCTTCAGAGGGGTTATCTGGTGAAATAACCAGGAAGCAGCTCAGAGTTCTCAAACACCTTGCACTCAAAGTAATCACGCTGGTAGAGAGGACCCAAACCAGACAAAGTCTCTACAAGGACAGTAGATAACATTGTTCTCTCTGCCTTCCTGCAGACCCTAAGGATACAGGGTTCCCTCCAGCACTGAAATTTCATCCTCTTGTGCATGCAGTGAGTAACTGAGCCTCTCTAGAGAAACCTTCTAGGAGACCCTTTTTAACCAGAGGATTCACAGAGTCAAAGTATATCAGGAAAGAAGTCCAGAAGAATGGCACAAGGCCTTGGGCTGAGCAGAGAACACCCTTGCTTTCCAATTGGAAGAGAGAGAAGGAGGTTGTGCAAAGATCCAGTCATCCCAGTCCTTGTGTTCTCAGTGTGCTGCCTCTCAGGCAAAATGGCCTTTAAAGACGTCACTGCTTCAGCACTAAAAGGCTCATCAGAAAGCCAGGCCCTTCATTATGAGTTTCTTTTCAGCTCTGCTGGGAAGCAACATATCTTAGCACAAATGAAAAGCAGACTGTTAAATTCAGGTTGTTATAGAAACAGATTTAAGCAGCAGCAGTCTGTGTCTCCTTACCTGTGAAGTCCTAGGCTGACTGGTGCTGCTGGGGCTGTGCCGGGGCTGCCCCTCCAGCCAGGAAATCTTGAGGGGATTATTTATCAGGCCAACTTCATTCTTCACAGCCATCTCCTAACAACAAAAACGTTCTTCCATCACCATTTGAATTTCAGACCCCACTCCCTCACAGGTCACAGGAGTTCTTCCATCTTAGCCTGGCACAAGCAGGCCAAGTAGGCCGAAAACAGTGAAGATCCCACAGCTGCCCTACAGCCTCTAAGGTCCCTCTGTGCACCAAGCACAGACAGACCACAGCACTGCCAGCACTTCTGATAAATAGGTCACAGACAGTTCTGGGGGTTTTTGGTTATTTGGATATATGGGTGAAAAAAACAGGTGTCAAGGAATAGAGACTCTTGTACAGTAGAAGTTTAAACTGGTGGAACTACAGCTACTGCTACCCTGAAATTAAGGGCAACTGATCATTTGTTTACACAGCCACATGCATTATTATAACTCAGAGCGAGTCAAGACATTTTGATTTCTTTCAAACTGGAAACACCTGATATAACCTGTAAAACTCACTAATCCCATCTCCACAAGGGGTAATTCATCTGTGGTGAGAGCTGATTAAACAGCTCTGTGTGGCTTTTGAAGCCAGTGCCTCTTTCCCCAGCCCTGTTCAGGCCCAGCCGGCTCGCTGGTGTGCACAGCCTGCTCTGGGTTTGTGCCTCCAGCTCTGCCACTCCCCTGGCCCTACCTGCACACTCTCATTGCCCTTCCCC